AACATTCGATATAATACGTCGTGTATTGCAAAATTATTTTGGTTATAAAATATTTTTCGTCCAGAATATTACCGATATTGATGATAAAATCATACGAAGAGCAAGACAAAAATATTTATTTGAAAAATATCTAGAAGAATTTGAACAACAAAATAAACAAAAAGAAAATCATCATGATCAAATTATTGCCGACGTAAATGCTGCATTGAATGAAATTAAATCGAAATTCGAACATGAAACGGATCAGGATAAAAAATCAATGCTGAATAAATTAATTCATCGAACTGAATCAATGATAAATGATAATTCAACAAATATTGAACAAATGGTACGCGGTGTTTCGGATATTCTTTCCATTTGGTTGGATCAAAACCGTGGGCATGAAGTTTGTGATCCGGATATTTTTATTTCATTACCTAGATTTTATGAAAATGATTTCAATCAAGATATGTTAGCCTTGAATATTCTACCACCGGATTGTGTAACCCGTGTTTCTGAATATATTCCAGAAATTATTGATTATATTCAGAAAATTATCGATAATGGTTATGCTTATCAATCGAATGGTTCAGTTTATTTTGATACGGAAAAATTTGCTCGAACACCCAAACATTATTATGCAAAATTAGTACCCGAAGCTTATGGTGATACAAAAGCATTAGCTGAAGGTGAAGGTGATTTATCATCATCAACGACAACGACAACGGCGAATATCATTAATGAAAAACGAAATCAAAATGATTTTGCTTTATGGAAAAATTCGAAACCAGGTGAACCATGGTGGCGATCACCTTGGGGTAATGGTCGTCCTGGTTGGCATATTGAATGTTCAGTTATGGCAACAGAAATTATTGGTAAACAAATGGATATACATTCGGGTGGTATTGATTTAAGATTTCCACATCATGATAATGAAATGGCACAATCAGAAGCTTATTTCAATACCGGTGAACAATGGGTTAATTATTTTCTACATTCAGGACATTTAACCATTCAGGGTTGTAAAATGTCAAAATCATTGAAAAATTTTATTACAATTAAAGATGCATTGAAAACAATTACTGCTCGACAATTACGTTTAGTATTTCTGTTACATTCATGGAAAGATACATTGGATTATAGTGATAATTCAATGAATGATGCACTGCATTTTGAAAAAAATTTAAATGTATGATTTTTTCGTTTTTAAAACGAAAAAAGTATCTAATTTTGTTTTTCGTTTTTTTCCAGGAATTTTTCCTTACAGTCAAAGATATTATCAGGCAAAGTCAAAAAATGACAATGGAAAAACGATTAGTTAAATGGGATGATTTGGAAAAAAATCTTTTTGAAAAGTATGTTTTTCAAATCGTTGGTTTTTTGCTATTTTAATTGATGATTTTTATTGTTTTCTTGTTGGTAGATTCATCGATCATGTTGATCGAATTGATCAAGCATTACATGATAATATTGATACAAAAAAATCCTGTGAAGAAATTCGTCGTTTATTAAGTATAACGAATATTTACATACAGATGAAACAAAATCAATCAAATCCAATTCTGTTGCGTATAATTGCACAATATCTAACCCAAATAATGGATATATTTGGTTGTTCTAGTTTTTTTGATGAACAACAATCGATTGGTTTTCAACGATCACTCAACAGCAACGATGAATCAGGCAACAAAGAAGAAATAATTCTACCATTTATTGAAACGATTGCAAAACTTCGTGATGAAATTCGTAGTTTAGCACGTGATTTAAAAAATAAACAATTATTTGAACTTTGTGATCGTATACGTGATGATATTTTTCCCGAATTAGGTGTACGAATGGAAGATTTAGAAACTACCGGTGATGGTGATGGTAATGGTCAACAACAATGGCGTTTAAAATTAGTCGATCGAGAAATATTATTACAAGAACGTTTAAAACGTATTGAAGAACAGGAACAAGCTAAATGTTTAGCTGAAGAACAACGGCAAAAGAAATTATTGGAGCAACAAAAGAAAAAAGCAGAATCTGAACAGCCACCAATCGATCCACGGCAAATGTTTCGTTTAGAAATGGATAAATATTCCAGATTTGATGATAATGGTATACCGACACATGATCACGAAGGTCAAGAATTAACAAAAAGTGCAATGAAAAAAATCGCCAAACGTTTTCAAGCACAGGAGAAAAAATATAATGATTATTTGAAAAAGAAAAGTGAAAAGAACTGAAAAACTAAAAATTTTTTTTCTATTAAATCAATTTCTTTATAATTTTTTTTATTGTTTCCAAAAACATTTTTTTTCTTGAAAAAAATAAAATTTTTTACAAAATTTCCATCAAAAATGATCATTATCATCATGGAATGGAAGCTGTCTTTGCTGCCAACCACCATATTTTTCCATTTGAAATGAAATAAAATGAATGAATGAAAAACATAACAGATGTCCACCATCATTCATTCATCCATTGTCGAATGTGTAACACACACACAGACAGACCTAACTTTTTCATTCACACAATATGAACGACAATTGGTTTCTGCTTCTGTTGTTTTGTTTGTCTGTTTTGTTTGTGTGTGTGTGTGAGAAACGAATAATCGTTGATCGTCGTTGTTTGACGATATTGTGAAATAGCATTGAAATTTGTTTGATGGTGGAAAACTAAACTTTTGCCATCATCATCAACGACGACGATGATGATAATAACAGCAGCAACAATAACCACTATCATTATCATCATCATCATCATCGGATGATTGATCAGAAAAGAGAGAGAACCTAGCTTAAAAAAAAAAAATTTCATTCAAACAAAGCAAGCAAAACCAAACAGAAATCCAATTGGCAGTTGAAATGTTGAGAGAAAAACAAGACAACTTTCTCTGCAGAGTTAACATAAACAAAAAACACAAAAAAAAACTTGGCTTCCAAAACATCCATTCATTTCAAACGCGATAAAGTTTTTTCATTCATTTCATTCGCATTGTGTGTGTGTTTGTGTGAACGCGAAGACCGGTTGTGTCCATATTTGTTGTTGTGTTTTTGATTGATTGTGATTTTTAGTGAAATTTTTTTTCTCCAATCATCATCCTGATGATTTCCCAATGTTTTTTGTTCAATATCTGTGTGTGTGATGTGCTAATTAATCGATAATGATCATTGATCGATGATGATCAATGATTTTTTCCATCAATGATTTTTTCCATCATCCTGAACGACTACTATATCGAATTATCCAGAGCAACAAACAAACATCGTTCATTTCTCGTTTTTTGTGTGTTTACGTTTTTCAAAAATTTTGATTGTTACCATAACAATGATATTATATTATCTCCATAAACTAATCATCATCTAGGCCAGAAAAGATAACGACCAATAAAAAAAACCAAAAAACAGCATTTTTTTTTGTTTCCTTAAAAAAACATGATGATAACCATTGACAACGACGATCAAATGTGATGTGATAAAGAAAGACGAGACGAAACGAAAGAAGAAAAATTTCATTTGAAGAAAAAAATATTGATTAATATTTTTCATCCGTTGACATCCTACAAATGTGTTTAAAAAACACAAAGTGTTTTTTCTTCTGAACAAATTTTTTGTTGTTGATTGATTTTACTTGGATAATAATGCTGTTAATCGATTGATTGATTGATTGACAAGGTAAACTAACTAATTGATGACAATCCTTTTAATGGCTTGTTTTGAAATGAAATGAAAAAAACAAAAAATTCCATAACATTTCGAAAATTAGTTGTTTTTTTTCTCATTGTGTTTTTTCACATGATAATAATGATGATGATGACCCAATGATGGTTGACCTCTTTTTGTTTTTGTTTTGTTGTTCTTGGTGTAATGATTGTGTGTTGTTTTTAGTGGTGTAATAGTTTTGTTCAAATGTTTAGTTAACAGTTAATATTTACCACCATCAACCATAAACACATGTTATTTTTATTGTTTCCAAAATTAGCCTTTTCATATGAATGAATGAATCATCATCGCATGTTGATAACCGTGAATATATGAGTGTCGGTTATTATTATTTTGTTCTTCTTACATAACTTTTTTCAATAATTTACATATTGCAAAATAACTTTGACTATTTTGAATATCCATGAAAAATGTTGGTGGTGGTGGCTATGATGATGGAAAACTTTGTTATCTTTAGCCATCATCAGTCATTGATGATCAAAACGATTGTCATGTTTTACGGGTGCATGTCAACCACGAAAACAACAACAAGTTTTTTTGTTTCTTTTTGAATAGAATTCTCGGGCGTCAAACACGAATATGCAACAGGTTGTGCGAAAAATAAATTGAAAACATATCACAATAGATAGATAGCTATTATGAATGGGCAGATGTTTTTTTTTAAATTAATTCAAATTTTTGTTTCGTGAGAAAAAAAAGGAAAAAAAAGGGGTCACTGTACCTAGTGTGTTTGGATTGGAATGGATGGATAATCACAAAATGACCATTACCACCAGTATACTTTTAACTCGTTTTTTTCAACATTGGAATTTCGATTTTCATTTTGATTTTTAAAAACAACCTTATTTGGACATTATCAACACTTGAGTGAGTGAGTGAATGAGTTTGTATTGATGACAATCACAATCATCAATGATTATCGATGTTCAATGTTTCAATTCAAAATTGACCCAAATTTTTTTTTCGATTTTTGGGAAAAACCAAATGTTTTTTGCGCGCGCGTGATCAATTCACTTCCTTCTGGATGATGGAAAAAATCCCGCGATATGAGGATGATATAAACAATTTCATTTCATTTTGATACGAATCTTTTAAATTTCAAAAATTTTCAGTTTTTTTAAAAATAATTTTTCTGTGAATTTTTTCTCTAAACAAATTTTCTTAGATGTCGAAATCTGAATTGAATAAAACGTTGGATACAAAAATTGAAAAACAACAACAACAAAATGGAAATACATTTCGAAGATTTCCATTTCGTAGTCAAAGTTTACGTTTAAGTAAAAAATCTAAATCATCATCAAACAATAATAAACAATCGCAACAATTCAATTCTTCAGAAGATGGTAATCATCCACGAAAATTTCTTCGACAACAAACAGTAAATGGCAGATTATCATCAACAACATCTTTAAATAATCTTATTTTGAGTAAATTATTGTTAAAAGATCGTGATCTTATTATCATTTCATCATCATCGAATGGAAATCAAAATCTATCATCATCATCATCGAATGAAACTTACAATAAACAATCGTCGACACCAACAACATTTTTCAAACGATTAAGTCGCCATCAATCGATAAAATCGATTCAACAACAACAACCACAACAAAAAAATCGTTCCAATTCGATTAGCCAAAATGCATCAAGTTTAAATTTTTTGGTTGGAAATTTTCCACCACCACCGACATTATCGAAAACAACAACAGCAAATCATCATTATGATGATGATGAAGGTGTTGTTACATTTGAAGAATCTGAAGATGATGATGATGATGATGAAGATTATCATCCAGATGATAATGACGATGGTAGATTGGAGATAAAATATCAAATTCCAGGACGTTATCCACGATTAGTTCGCCTGGTTCGTGATTGTCATCAACAACAACAACAACGTTTAGGTATACAGATTATTGGTGGATGTGATTTTGGTATACCGGTTATTATTGTTGGTCTACGACAGAATTCTCCAGCACAAAATTGTGGTAAAATATTTATCGGTGATCAAATTTTATCGGTTAATGATGTTCCTATTAATGAAAATAATACACATAATGATACATTAAGATTATTGGCTGAATGTGGACCAATCGTTTCATTATTATTAAAACATACTAAATCGGTTATGAATTTCGATCGAAAATGGAAACATTTGCAACAAAATTTTGATAAGATTTTGTTATCGAACAACCATGATGAAAAAAATACTGATGATCTTGATCTTGAAGCAATAACCACCATCAAACATCGACAAATGTCTTTGACATTAAAAGATGATCATCATCTGAATTCTTCAGTTGAAAATTTTGACCACAATGATGATGATGATAATCATAATCGATATCGTATCAATCTTTTAGCATCCACAATAAGTCGTTTTGTATCGTTTAGTGATCGAATACGTGATTCGGGTTTTGAAATTTTTTCACCAACAACAACAACCACGACGAGCAATAATGGTTCCATTATCATCGAATGCTTAAATGAAGATATATGTCGAAAATGGTTTTCATTGATTAAAAATACAATTGAAAATTTGCAAGAAAATTTCGTAAGTTTACTTACCTCGATGTTTTTGTTTTTTAAGCCAGAAAAAATCTAATATTTTCCTGTTTTTCGTTTTTGAATTTTAGATACGAAATTTCAATAAACATTTACCTCGAAATGAACATTTTCTTTATATGGGTTATTGTTCGGAACGTCGAATGATTATTGAATCATCATCATCATCATCGATATTTTCATCAAAATCTTCATTATTTTCAAATTTTTTATCACCAAAATCTTCTACCAATCATCATCAACAATATCGTTGGTTATCCAGATTTTTAATCATTAAAGGTGGAAAAATTTTTCTTTTCAAATGTCCACCAATTGAAACATTGCTAAATTATAAAAGAAAATTTGAAAATTTATCATTTCAACAACGAGAAAAACAAAGAAAATATCGTACAAATAGTAATGGTAGTAGTTTAGGTAGTGTTGGATCAACAACAACAACGACAACAACAACAAGTGATCAAAGTAATTGTTCCAATAACAACAACAACAACAAACCGAAACCACCATCAAATCGTTTGATAAAATTGAATAAATGTTTAGAAAATGAATTAGATTTGCTGGCCATCGAACAATCATGGCATTGTTATCAATCAGATTTTCGTTGTCAATTGAAACGAATCGAACCAATCGATAATAGCAATAACAATAAACAAGATTCAAGTTTTATCATCACTACAAATGGTTTGGAAGCAAAATATTTTTCCACTGAATGTTATCGACAATTAGAACGTTTGAATAATGCTTGGAATTTAGCAAATTATTATTCAGTTTTGAAAAATGAGGTAATATTTTCTGAATTAACTTACTCATTTTTTGGATGAATAATAATCGTTTTTTTTCTTCAATTTTTAGTGTAAAATCTATACCGTCGCATTGGAACCGCTGAACATAATCGGATCATTTAAAATTGATTGGAAAATGGGTTTTAGTTTTTATGATCCAAAACATAATGAATTAATTTGGTCATATCAATTTTATCAATTAAAACATTCATCCGATGATGGTCAAGAAATATTATCATTATCATTTTTAATTGATTCGAATGATAATCATAAGAATCATCATAATGTTCAAATTGTTCAACATGTTATACGTTGTAGTTGTTTGAAAACAATCATATTTTCGATTCATTCATTTTTAAGGGCTAAAGTATTTAGTCTTTCGATGTAAAAAAATAACTTTTAATTTAACAAATTTATTTTATTATTTTTTGTGATAATTTTGCATTTTGATCATGTCGATTCGAATAAAAAATTTTGATTTAAAATTTTTGCTGTTCTTGTTGTGTAAATATTTTAACTTTACCTGATTCGATTGTGTAGAAATAGACACAATAACACCGTGTCATTGGGAATAATTGAAAGGAAAACATTCTTTCTTTTTTATTAAATCTGATAATTTACTGACTGATCTGATCTATTGAAAGAAAACAAAACAAACTGATAACAAAAAAATGAGTTTAATTATTCGTTTAGTGGCTAAAAATGGTAAGTTCAGTATGGTATTTTCTCAGAATTTCTCTAATGATTTTATCATTAAGCTCGACAACATCAAATCATTATTCGCAATATTCATTCGAAGACCATCACTACCACCAACATTCAGCAATCATTTCGTCCATTATTATCACGATCATCATTATTATTAAATCAAATACAAAAACCGGCAATAAAATTCAATGCTCAACGATTATTATCATCATCATCTGGTGTACATAATCATGCAAAAATTTGGGTCATTGAAAAAATTGTTTCAGCTGCATTATTGGCTATAATACCGGCAGCATTAATCTATCCAAATCCAATATTAGATTATTGTTTGGCATTTTCCCTTGTAATACATTGTCATTGGGGATTTGAAGCTATTGTTGTTGATTATATACGACCATCATTAGTTGGTAATGTTTTACCGAAAATTTCTTTGCTAAGTCTTTATTTAGTATCAATGGTTGCATTGGCTGGCCTGTTTTATCTAAATTATAGTGATGTTGGTACTGCAACTGCAATCAAAATGTTTGCAAAAATGTAAATCTACCCTATCCTCATCTAATAACACTTAGACACTGAGAATCATGGAAAAGAATTATTAAAAAAAAAGAAAAGTATTTATGAAAAAAAAATCAAAATTTTCTTTATTTATCATGGTTTATATACATGGTTTCTCCTAATCAATCATTTTCTAAAAATTTTTCCAATTCATCAACTTCATTTGGATCCAAATCTAATGATATATCTTCCAATTTTGTTTCATCTTTCGATAATGATGATGATGATGGTGGTTCATTATTAATCAATTGGCCTTTTTCTTTATAAATACGAAGTTCATCTTCAAATGCTTGTTGAAAAACTAGCTGTCTTTCTTTAAGTATTTCTACTTCTTGTCGTTCATATTTTGAATTTAATTGTGATTCATAAAGAACTAGATCTTCTGCACGACGAACCAGCATTTGATTCATTTTTTGTTCCGATTCTGATTTACGTTGTTCAAAATCTTGATCAATTGATTCTTTATTTAGACCGATAATTGCTTCATTCAATTTATTCACCAATGATAATGATTGTTCCAATTCTATTTCGATCGATAAAAGCGATTCACAAATTTCCGGTACTAATCGATCTAAATCGGTTTCCAAATCATCACAGATTTTATTAAAATTTTCAAATTTACATTTGATTTGTTGAATCGTTTTAGACGAATGTTTAGCATTCGTTACATTCTGTTTAGTTTGATTTTGTAATTCAATCCAACGTTGTTGAAAATAATCAACAATATCAATACCGGCTAAAAGATTAACATCTGATAAATCATCATAATGACGATGGAAATCAGATCGATCAATTGATGTAGATGTAGCCGAATGATTCGACGTTAAAGTGCCAATGGTCAATTCTCGAAGACTAAATTTCAAAAAAAGTAAACAAAAATTAATCAAAAATCAACCTGGATTAATCAAATTTACCTTGATTGTAGATCTTGTTGTACAAGATTTTGTAAACGATCACGAATTTGTTGAACAAACATAATTTTTTTTTTGTTGCAAAATTGAATTTAATAAATCTATTTAATCGTTTTTTTCTTTTAAAGTAAAAAAAAAAGATATTTATAAGCAAAATATTATGGCTGATTGATTGATTGATTTGAATGTAAAAAAAATGACACAAAAATTCTTTATATAAAAAAGTTATTAAAAAAAGTAGATATGTAATGTAAGTAATGTGGATGTGTTTTGAAAATGAAAAATCATCAAAGAAAGTCGAAAAATATTTTGATGGCGGTGCTGGTTGGATCGATATAGAATCGAACATCAGACATCCGATTCGAATTGATTATTATTCCATCCACCATGATGACCATTATTATTATCATTATCATCATTGTTATCTTCGTTAGGATTAAAATGATAACTATTTCGTAAATGTTCAGGTGATGATGAATCAGTTGAATGAATTGTTAATAGATTATGAGTATCATCATTTGTTGTTGTACTATTACTATTTGGTGATGATTGTGTTAAATCAGTAATAATAGTGGCAAATGTTGATGATTCACGGCCATCACCATTATCATCATCACCGATTTGAGTATCAACTGTATCCAAATCGATAATTTCATCTTGTAAATCATCATCATTATTATTATCAGATGAAAATGGTGATTGTTGTTGATGTTTTGATGGTTGTTGTTGATTATCAATTAATGGTGGTGATGGAGATCGACTTGGTGCTGATCCAGCAATAGTAGTTGTTGTTAATGCTGGATAAAGTAATATTCCACCTTTATAATAAACAGAATTTGGACTTGCTGTACTACCATTCGATGGTGATGATGATGATGATGGATCAATTGTATATGGATTTGTTGTTGGTAAAACTGATCGTCGTTTACGTTTTTGATTAATAGTATCAAATAAATATGATGATTTTTGATGTGGACAACCAAATAAATTTCTTAATAAACGATATGTACAAAGTATTAAAAAAACAGCTACAATTATCAGACAAAGAATCGGTATTATGATCGGTGCTGATGCCATTTTTCAATTCTTCTGCTTCAACAAGGAATATTCTCCCCTCTCAAAATCAAAAATCAAGGCCAAGAATCGAGCAACGTTTTGTTTGTTTTCGGTGCATAAAGCAAGGGGGAGAAATGAAGATTCTCTAAAAGTGTTACAAACAGACAAAATGTTGAATGAAGATTTTTAGCATGAAAAAACGAAAAAACAAAATGATAACAATAGCCTCGAGTAGTAGCACAAAATTTTGAAAAAAAGGTAAAAAAAACGAAACGAAAAAGTTTGTCACGCTAGCTGTATGTTGTTTGTTTGTGTGGTGTGTTTCTTTGGAACGCTTTTGTTGTTGTGTGGCTAGCCACCACCACCACTATCTATCTATCGATGTATGTATTTTGGCCTATTGATGGATATTTGGCCAACTGACCAACAACAAAAACAGCAAAAAAAACAGAAATTTGAAAAATGAAATGAAAAAAGTTTGTTGTTTTTCAATGATGTCTATGTTTGTTTTGTCTTTGGTGTTTGGTTTGATAAAACAAAAATTTGATTTTGTTTTTGATTGATTTGAGATTGTGAATCTTGAAAAAAAGAGTTTAATGTGTGCATGTATGTACGATGTGTACATGAAATCAAATGACGATATCACCAATTCAATTCAATTTTGATTTCGATTCGAATGATAAATTGCTACTACCGTTGCTAGTGTATCCTATCAATCTATTTGTTGAAGATAAAATTGAAATTGAAATTTTTCACTTCTACGAATCATGTCACGTCATATTTTTTCACACACTTATCACTAACAACAACAGCAACAAAAACAAATTATTAAGTGCTCAAATTTGAAAATGAAAAAATGAAAAAAATTCACAAGCAAAGTGGTGTGTGTGTTTGTGGGGAAAAATGTAAATTTGTAAAAATTTAATTGTATGGAAATTATCAATCAATCATCATTGGAGAGAGAAAGAGAAAACAAAATGAATAATTCTTTGCAGGTAGACTGGACACCAGTATCTATAAATTGGCGTCATTGGATGGTTGATTGGTTGGTAACGATATTCAATGTTTGATGTTCGAATGTTTGAACAGGTCGTTTCAAATATACAATAATATATGATGTATATGAAAACAAAATACAACAAATTGGAAAAAAATTGCCAAAATGGTGGTCTCGATGCTTGTTGATAATACACACACACGCACTTATACACCAAGGATACATTTACACAATTATACAACAAACAGGAGATATTGAAGTGATGAAAGAAAATCTTTTAAAAAAAGTTTTAAAGTTTTTGTTTTTGAATTTAAATTCAATTAAAATTCTTCAAATGTGAATGATTTTTGTTTGAATGTTTATGATAAAAACATCATTGGATTGATTTAATCTTTCTTTTTTGAATTGATTGATTGCAATTTGATTGTGATGAAAGCAAAAAAAAATGAAAATATTTACATTGATGATTGTGTATTGAAAACATGGAATATATAAATAGTGGAATAAATTAATAATCAGGTAATTTACATAAATTCAACGGTAACCAAGTTAATTAATCAACTTCTTGATTAACTTATTGATTAATAGACATTAAATTGATAAATTTGAATGAAAAAATGTTTTACAAGTTTTTTGGCTTTGTTTTGAAACATTTTTAAATCATGTAGGTTGATGGTGGGTTTTTTTCAGACAAAAATGAAATATTTACTTACCACATTTCCAAATTTTTAAATTGAAAATTGAAAAAAAATTTTCAAAACAAAATGAAATTTGAAGTTTTTGGAAATGAAAAAAAAATAGCAAAAACACACACAGCTGACAAACTTATTTTTGGATTCGATCGAATGTTGATCATCATCAACAACAACAAATATTCGAATCGCGCAATCGCAATGAAAATTTTTTTTTTTTTTCATTGGATATATTTTGGGCGCCAAATTCAAACTTGAAAAGTTTCTTTTTTTTTTAAAAAATCAAATTCTTTTTTTATTAAAATAAATATTTACATAAAAAATACAATGCATTAAGATAGAAGGAAGAAAATGAATGAAAAGAAATCAATAAATATCGAAAATTAATTTGAGAAAATGAAAAAAAATCGATGAAAATGACTAAAATTATACAAAACAAACAAGCTTCTTGTTTATCATGTTTTTGATGGATTTTTGGCCACTAATGTTGAATCAGATTTATTTTGGCTGTTACTGTTATTTTGGCTATTTGTAACGATAATAATTTTGGATTTTGGTGTTGTACGTTGAACAATATTATTCGTTTGTTTAATACATTTTTGTCCAGAAAAATAAAGAGATTTCCATAATTGTCTTATTTCATCTGGTTTATGTTTATGACTTGTCATAATTTTTGGAAATGTACAGCTATCTAATTTTAAATGAACATTACGCATCATAGCATGATTATAACGTTTAATACCGGCTGTTTCGGCAACAATTCCTGTCATAAAAACATCTTCCAAATAAAATGCCGTAGTACGATTTGAAATACTTGTTTCCCATAATGGACGGGCTGCATCACCGGTAAAAAAATAAGCTGGTCCGGTTACGAAATTCGGAAAATATGTTTGATTGTAAGCTTCGTATGGTACAAACCATTTGGATACACGTGAACGATGTGGTTTCCATTTTTTTGCCAATTTCCCGATAATAACTTTATGAAAATTTGGATTTATCTCGGTAAAATCACATGCATGTTGCATATTAATCATCATATCATCATCAACTTTTAATACATAACGTATTTTTGAACATTTTTTTGTTATCCAATTCATCATTGTTATTGTTTTTAATGTTAAATTATAATAATTATCTTGGAAAGTTCCTTGCAGTATATCACCATATTTAAAATCTTCTTCTTGTACTTGATCTTGTATTCGTTGATCATCAGTTGAACCAAGTAAAAAATAAAAATAAGCACCACGTTCAATAGAAAATTTTCCCCATGTTTCACGAATTGCATTACGTGCATCAAAATTAAACACTGCTGAATTGACGAGAACTAAAAGATCAGCATAAGCACCTTGATCTTCACCACAACCATCTTCTTTATCAATATTCATTCGTTCGGTTTCAGCTAAATCTTCTCGATCAAAAATAACTTTTATGGGAGATTTTTTCAACCCAAGAGAATTAAGTGTTGATGAACCCATCACTGTACTTTGGGTTATTGGATCATCACGATAATCTTTTTCAAAACGTTGATCAGCTGAAAAGAAAAAAAGATTTATCAGAAAAACATTGTTTTTAAAAAGTAAAATTTTTACAAAAAATAAAAATTTACCCATTAAACTTGTAACACTACTTGTTTTACTAGATGGCGATACTGAATATGATTGCTGCTGAATCGGATTTAATTTTAAATCCGGTTGTATATTGATTGGCACGTTATTGGAATTATTATTCGTTAAAAACGACGATGAAGATTTTAATGGCAATTTTTTCATTTTTTCATCCTTTTTACTTTCATCATTGTTGTTGGCCACAAGATTTACAAGTTTTACCGAAGTTGGATCCCTTGATAGTAAAGTGTTAAATTTATTTTTTACATTACCATTACCACTATCGCCAATCTAGAAAGATTAATAAAAGAAAATTGAAAATTAATCCTTAGTTAATCTCAAGCAAAAAAACAAAACAAAAACAAACTTGTTTCACAGGCTGCCGGCGGTCAAAGGTCGATAATGGACGTTTTTGCTGCTGCTGCTGTTCAAGTTGCTGTTTAGCTAACATCATTTGCTGTTCACGACGATAATGTAATGCAAATGCATTGGTTGGTTGTACAAATGTTTGGCCATTTAGATTTGGATTCACTGTAAAACGAATGATGGTTATTAATGTTGCTGTTGCTACCATTAATATTAGTATTGTAAATGATAATGCTTTTCGTTGTTGTACAGGTGGTGATTGTTGTTGATGTGGTTGATGTAATGATGAAGTTGATGCAGAGGTGGGCAACAGTTGATATGTAGCCATATTTTTGATTTTTGATTTTTAGTTGACCAGATCGAATACGAAAGATTTCAAAAGAAAATCGAAGGTGGACGGTAAATAAATATCACAGCCGGGAAGAAAAATGATTTTTGATTTTTGATGAAATTCACAGACCGGGATGAGCAAAAATGAAAAAGATTTTTGTTTGAGCGAAAATTCTCTGCTGTGAAACAAAGACAAAAAAGCGAAATTAGTTAGTCAAATTAAAATGAATCGATCAAAATCAAGCAAAAACGAAAACAACAAGCAAAAAAGCAAAACAATCAATCGAATCGAAAGATGAAAAATGTTACACAATCATACACAGTCAGACAGTCATCACGTCATTTTTTTTTGTTTGAAAAAAATGACAGGTCAAAATGGGAGTTTTGTTTTTTTCGTTTGTTTGTTTGATTGTTTCAAATCAAAAAAAATGAAAATCCAATTAATTATTGATCACAAATCAAAAAAATGTCATGTTTTTTTCGTTGTTGTACCACAGTGGTATATCCTGTGTTAATTTTTTTCTGATTTCGATTTTTTGGAAAACAAAAAAAAAATTCAAATAAACGATACATATTGGGAAGATAGAAATCAAACGAAACAAAAAAAATCAGAGTGGCTAACGCCAACACAAATCAAAACGATCAAACATAAAACATCGTCAAACGATGATCAAACTCGGAAGCAATTGAAAATGATTTTGTAAAATCAATTGCATCCGCGCAGATTGAGGACGATAAACTTTTTTTCAGGCAAAAAAAAAATCAAAAATCAAAAATCAATAGGATCAATGTTATGATTCAAAAAACAAAATTGATCTTGTTTTGGTTCGTTGGCCAGTTTTGGTGTTTCGTTTCCATTTTTATAATGAAAAAAAAACTACCTGAATATTTTTCTGGCAAGGGATAGGTCTGAATATGATAATCATCATAAGGATGAAAATGATCACCGAAGATAATCATTGGATTATTGCACTCATCAACAAATATTCAGTTTGGTGGTCAGTTCAGTGAACTTGAAAAATTTTTTATTTTTCCCGATCATCATCGCAGACAAAGTAAATTCAAATCTTCGAAGCAAAAGATTTTACCTACGGCAATTATCTTGCACCTGTGGTAGAAATGTTCTTCTTTTAGGTTTGACGGATATTTAAGCAAATATTTGTCAAAAAGATGATTTGGCGTGAAAACAAAATTTACCAAAACTGAAATCTGCTAAAACAATCAAATCCGAACGATAAATGTCAAACAAAACAAAACAAAAACAAATTATGAATCAATCAAAGGTGAGATTAAATTAGAGTTTCACAGCGGAACTTTTTTAAAAACTTTCAAACTTGCTTTTTCTGTTGTTGTTGTTTTTGTTAATTTTATTCTGATTAGAAATTAATCCTTGATTACATTGATAGGGGAGAGGAAAAAATCGATATCAAAAAAAAAATCAATCGAATGATAATGAATGAATGAAAAAGGGCAACTTTTTAATCTTGTTTTTTTTCTGTTGTTGTTGTTTATGAATTTCTGAATAAGAAATATTTCAAATTGGATCAACATCGAAACGATTTTGTTGTTGTTTGTTTGCTTGTTCCAACAACAACAACAAAACAACAACAACAAATTGGATTTGGGTCAATCAAAATCAAAATGGAGAAAGAAAAGAAAAAAACTGTCCAATTTGGATCACAGGACACGGAAATGTTTTCGGGAAAAACTTCAGTAATCAATCAATCAATCAAGGTAACTTACCGGAATTATTTCTCTTGTTAATTAAATCAAACAACGATGATGATGATTATTATTTTCATTGATTTGATTGTAAAGCATCTGAATCATCGAAAAAGTCAATGCCTTGAACTGGATGAAAAAAAAGTTTCTGTGGGTTTTTTTCACATCCAAAGAAAATTTGATATGATTTTTTCTTTTGATATGATGTGTTCTGAAGCCAAATCCTGAATGCAGAAATGAAATATAAATACAGCCCAAAAATCTATCAACAGCAAAGAAAATCGATCATGTTCGATCGATTCGATTGATTTAGTTATGGTGATGTGAAATTTGTCGTTGCTCTGTGGAATCCATATAAAGCACCGAATATAGATAAAGATCAGATTTTTTTCACACTATCCTTGATCACTGCTGCTGGCGTTGATGTTATTGTTTTTTTATCGATTTTTATCGGTTTAAAAAAACAAAGAGAGAACAAAACGAACCAATTAAATATATCCGGTTGATGTTTTGATTGATGTTTCGATGTTTCGATGTTCGATCAGGATGTTTGATTTTCGATGTTTGATTTTTTGGATTTTTGAACAAAACAAATTTTGTCACAAAACAGCCAAAAAAAATAAAGGTTTGAAAACAATTTTTGATGAAAATCTGGTTGCTGTTTGATGTTTGGTTGATTGATTAGATTAGGTGACAATGTAAAAATTTGTTGATGTTTGAAACCATTTTTTTTTTGTTTGGAACAACATCGAGCAGCAAAAAAAACATTCCATTTTGTTGTTGTTGTTACAAATATGTTTGTTGCCTTCGATATTCGCTGATTAAAAGATTATTTTTTTTCTGGTTTTATTTTTATAACACACACAGACTAACTATAGCACGATTATCACATCATTGTCGATTTTGTTTGAATGTTATTATAAAAGCCATAAACAATTTTCTGATGATAATGATAAGATTTGGACATGTTTTTATAACCCACAAGAGAAGAAGAAGAAAAATATGATGATCGAATGTTAATGATGACAATGATGTTCTAAAATCATCCTCATAAATCATAAATCATTCATAAATTTGTCAAAAGTAAAATCATTTGAAAATTTACAAATTACAATTTACAATGATATCATTTGATTAATTAAAAATCAAATTAAAAAACAATAAATTAAATCAGGATGTTAACATTTTTTTTTTGTTGCACGTGGTTGTCATCATCACCAACATCATTAACATTGAATTTTCAAATTTCAAATTTGAAAAACAAAAAACAGGCCGGTAAACAGAAAAACAGAAAAAATTTGAAACCAAAATCAAACACAATGGGGAAATAAATGTTGATGATGATTATGAGCGATGTTCACTTTGGTTGTTTGTTCGTTGATCAACCAATCAACCAACCTAACCAAGAATGAAAGAATGAAAAAACCAAAACAACAACAAAAAACACAGATACACAACACATGCACAATGTGTGGATGTGCTTCGGATGATGATCATCATTGATGATGGTGACTGAGAGTGAAAATATTTTTTTTTTCGTTCAAAAAAAAAACCATCCTAACAACTCCTAAACAACAACAACAGGTGAAGGTAATCTAGTGCGAGTTTTTGCATTTGATTTTTTCCTATTCGGCGGCGGCAACATTCCATGAAAAAAAAAATGTCCAAACAAACAACATGCAACGACGACCACTTGCATAAAAAAACTGAAAACTGAATAATGTTTGGTCAATGGTGATGGTGTGTGGTGTGGTTTGACTCTCCCTTATTTTCTTTATTTTTGCTACATGTTCTTCGTCCGTCGTCTTGTTGTTGCTGATCTTGTTCTTCAACAATTTTCTCTAGTTTTTCAAAAAGTTTTATCCCGAAGCAGAAACAGAAAGAAAAACGCGTGCTTTTTTTTCTCAATCCAAATCTGAATGGCTGGTTTTGAAATTCAATCAGTGAGAGTTAAGAGAGAGACGAACGATTATTGAATGAAAAAAATCATGTGTTCCTTATCGATTTCGATGGCCACCATCATCATCATCATTATTTTCTTTTTGCTTCAATAACTTTGTTACTTTATTCTTTGGTTGGTCGATTGATTGATTGATCAATGTTAGGGGAAAAAAATTAATCTTAATGGCCTATCGCTGATACAAGCAGACAACAACAACAAGCAAGCAAGCAGAAAATTATGAATGAAAAAGGATGATGATTGTATAATGGTGACAATCAATTGTGTTGTGTACTTGAACATGTTTTGAAAATCATGTTCACTATGTTCGGTGATTACGTTTGATGATGATTATCCTGTTGTCAATTGATGACAATTTTTTCTTACAGGAAAAATTCAGGAAGTGATCATCATCATTGTTTGGAAAAAGGTGCTAAGGATCAATTGGAAAATTATTATCTAATGGGAAAAAACTAACGAAAGTGAAGAAAGTGAAAAAGAAAAGTGAAAACGAAGAATAGGAAATCCGAAAATGTACAATCAACAATAGTTATTAAAGATCATTAAAGATGAAAAAAGAAGGAAAAATTTTGATTGATTTTAAATCGATTATATCGATTCAATTCGATGAATTTGAAAAAGGAAAATAACAGAAAATTTTTCTTTTTTCTTTCCACAGAAAAGAATCGTTGGTTGGTTGTTTGAATGAGATTTTTTTTCTTTGTTGTTAAAAATCCTATCGATGAAAAACAAAAAAAAACGTCTATTCATATTTATGAAAAGTGATTTCAAATTTCATATTGATTGATGGTCATTCATCATCACCACCTTTATCCGTTTATATTGAATATAAATTCTAGTCGAAAAAAATGTATGATGTGTGTGTGTGCGGGGGAGAATGATAGAAAGAAAGCAAACCACAATCAGCAGAGCTTATCATCAAAAAAAAAATTCCATCATTCAAGGATCATCATGATGTTTATTGTGTGTGTTTGAGCAGCAATAAAAGCATCCAAGCAGCAGCAATAATTGTTCTATTCACGGATTAAAGATAAGAGTGGAAACAAAAAAAAATCAACAATTCCAGTATTTGTGGATATTCAATGTCATGAACAACAGCAACAAATGATGATAATTATAAATATGAAAATGTCGTCATCAATGATGATTGTAAATCATTATTATTACATTTTTAATTGTTTTATGACAATGTATTTATAATGATTTAATTGTCAGACCAAAAAAAAGAAAAAGAAAAATTACAAACTGAGAAATTTTCCCTGAAAAAGTTTTCCCGGGAAAATTTCTACCAATGATAATCTTATCGTTTTGAAATTTTTCTTTTTTTCCCTTGATAATTATGATGATGATGATATGAGAAAAGAATCAATTTTCATTCATTCTGTCGAATCTATCCTGGTTTTTTCTTTTCGTTACTTTTGAATCGTTTGACATGAAACACATCCTTGTTGATCATATCAGGCAGATATCTGTTGCTGGCAGATTCTGCTGTGGCTAATTTTCCTTTTTTTTTGCATCGATCAATTGTCGAGATAAGACGACGACGATAAGCAAGAGAAAATGAAAATCCAAAGTAAAAATATGAAAGTGACAGAACAAAAATCTAATTTTGACAGTAATTTTTGGATGATGATCATCATCATCCATAATTATCTTATAGTGGTTATCCAAGAAAACGCAAAAAGCCTGATCCGGTAATTTTATTTTTATTTTTGTTGAAAAATTTTCAAAAGTTTTTAAAAAAAAAATTCAGAATTACAATGGATTTTCTGTACAGCCAAACAAAAAAAATATGAAAGAATCATTCATTCATTCAACGAGATAATGTTGGTAACGGTCGATTAGTTAGATAGGTAGTCATTAATGATGATGAATGCGGTTGATTGCTGTAACCTGTATTTGTAATATTATATTGACTACGTGTTAATGGTGATGAGGATATTTTATTCATATAATAACTTGAACCTCTGGTTATATAATTTGGACGTTCAACACTATGTGAACGATTATGTTGATGACGAAAATCCATCATTTTACGTTGTTGCATCAGGTAACGATTATTATTAGGTCGATATGGATCATTTTCTGTAGTAAATTTTTGTGCATAATCCGATATAGATTTATATGACGTTGAAGTTGACGTTGGTGCAGGTGTTATGGATCGTCGTTGATTAACACTAGTCGATGGTGGTGGTGACATAAAAAATCCATTAATCGGTGTTGGTGATCTACTAATGGATGATGTTGATGAAACAAAACTTCCGGAACAACTAGGTGTTGGTGAACGACTGCTGCTTCCTCCGTTACCTCTACTGTTACTGTATTTATCATCATTAAATGTTGGTGGTGGTGGTTTTAATTCCGTTAATGATGGGCTTGGTTGCTGCTGCTGTTCGATTATTGTTGTTGTTGTTGTTGTTGGTGAATGTTGTTGTTGTTTGCCGGATTTTGTTTTAAATAATTCATCATTCAGTTGACATAATTGTAATAAAAAACCTTGATTTGGTAGAATATTTCTATATTTTACAATCGAACGAATAGCATCGGTAACTGTCATTGATTTTTTCAACATTAAATATGCAATAACCAATGTGGATGACCGAGAAATACCTTCACCACAATGTACAAGAATTTTTCCATTCGGTGTTTTATCCACAGCCATTTCAATAAAATTAGCTGCCGATTGAAAATGTTGATATAATGGAAATGAAGACATATCTAATGCTTCAATGCCCATAAATTCAATCTGGGCATTTCGATAAAATGATTCAGAAGTATTAACCAGGCCAAGATTTCTTTGTCGACCACATGCTGCATTTAAAACATGTGTAATGCCCAAACGTTTCAGAAGATGTATGCATAATGCAGTTGTACTGTGGAAGAGAAAATCAATCAAATTCATTAAGAAAATTTATAAAAAATTCATTCAAAATGTTAATAATAATAATTTACCTATCACCAAGAAAAATATTTGGATAAACTTCATCATATGGTTCAATAGGTAAAACATAATAACCATATGTATGTTTTAATAAAATTTCCAATAATTCATTTGGTGTTATTGATGGTGATGACATTGATGATGATCGACCATTTGTATTAGCGATTCTATCACGCCAGTACATTTTTTTCTTTGTTAGTTATTCACAATTGTACAAAAAACACAACACACAAAACAACAATGACAATTTTCAAGTGATGAACGAAAACAAGAAAAAGTATTCGGCAGCAGATTCAGATGACGACTAAACAAAAATTAAAAGTGAAAAACAAACGAATGAATGTTTGCAAAAAAAATTTATTCTTATTCTGGTTGACAGTGAACTCTGAAAGAATTTATATAAATTTGATGCATATTTATTTGAAAAAAAAACAACGATAAAAATGAATGCCATCACTCTATTAATAGATTTTTTTCCATTGTCGAATATTCATCCGGTTGTATGATTGTATGGTATTTACAATGATGAATTATGATCGACTAACTTTATTCAAAAAAAAATTTCACCATGTTTATTTGCGTGTTTGTGTGTGTGTGTGGATTAACCTATGGATACGACGAATATGAAGAAATGTAATGGATTTTTGGCTTTGTACACAACAAACAAACATAAAACAAAATAAATGATAATTCTCGATTTTAATATATGGGAAAAAAAACAAAACAAAAAAACAAAAAAACAAATGACGACTTTACCGATTGGAAATTCTTTATATTCTTTATATCAAAAAGAGAGAATATCAATTGATGATCGTCAGTCAGTTTGGTTTGTTTGTTTGTTTGTTTGTTCATTATATGTCCATTATGTTTTTTCCGATTTTCATTATCATCATCATCATTCATTAAAGAGAGACAGAGAATATAATTGTTTGTTTGGTTTGTTTTTGTTGTTTTTCCCAAAAAAAATTATTATTTCGGATATTTGTCATGTTTGTATATTCTCTCTCTCTCTCTACATGTTTATTGTTTTTTTTTCACCGAATTTTGTCCATTTAAATATGCTGATGATGATGGTATAGCAACAAGAATGAATTTTTTTTTTTTTTTGGCAACCAGAAAAAACAACAACAAACAAACTTAAACAGAAACACAGACTGAGAAGGAAAAACAAAACAAATTCTTGAATGACGTTGGCGTGGATACACACACACAACGAGAATTGATAGGAGAAATGAAAAACAAAAAAGAAAAAGAAAAACCCGATAATAATCATCATTAGTGGTAACATGGTAATGATAATGACGTAATGAATATTTTCATATTGAATATTTAATGATTCAAAAAATGGATAATCTCTTTTCGTTTTTCTTTATTGGTTTTTGGTCTGGTTTGGTTTGGTTGAAGTTCACCGACATAGAAATTTTCGTTTTGTTTTTTTCGCATGATTAGTTCATGAATTTTAGAAATCAGCAATGGTCGATCACCTTGTTGATTTCCAAAAAAGGGTTTTCAAAATGCTTTTTGTCATTGATCAATTTCGATTTTTGATTTTTGATGCTGTTTGTTTTGCTAAATTTAGTAAACATCTCCTTTCTTGTTTTAGCATTTTAAAGTGCGCGTTTGAATTTTGACAAATGTCATTCCTGAGAAACTGATGGTGGTGGTTACATTTTTTTTGTTTAAATTTCGTCGACATTGAAAAGTAATTCATTGGCTTTTATCCAAGAACATAACTTTTTCTTTCATGAAAAAATTCTTGGCAATAAATTCGAATCGAAAATAATGATGATGATGATAACAAATGTTGAATATCCATTCATCATTTCAACAGAAAAAATTATGTAATCAAAGGCTTAAATTAGCTGAAAAGATGCAGAATTTTATTTTGGTCATTGATTGAATTGAATTGATGAATGAATGAATAAAAATATCTTGCTTGTTTGTTTTAATTATCCTATTATTCTGTCCTTGACCAACTTATTCTCTGATCAAAATTGAAAATGAAAATAAGATGAAATCATCAAGTGAGCAATGCAACAATCACCTTGTATTGTAGAATTGTAGAATTGTGACAAATTCATAAATAATAATATTGCCTTTTTTCTTTTATCCCAAATTGAAATCATAACGTAGTTTTGGTTTTTTTAAATAGTTTTTTTATTATTACAAATTAGTAAAATAGTGAAATAGTTTTGGTTTTTCGTATGTTTTACTTGCCGGGATTATTCAATGATGAATGAAGAGAGGGAAAAAAAGAAACGCTATCCATAATAACGCCATTGATTTCTTTGAAAAGAATTTCTATTCCAATTTCCTCTCCAACCACCACCATTATTATTATTATTCCATCGACCATTATTATTATTATTACGGTGGCAATATGAAATTGGTACACATCTTCCAGATAATCCGGATGATTCGAAAACAAATCCCCGCTTACATGAACATGCTTGACGACAATTTAATGTACATGGACGTGGACGACCATAATTATAACAATTATCCGGACAAGATGTTGCACATTCATTCCAATAGGCATTCATACCGCATGATCTTCTACCACCATATGAATCGACCAATGTTGAAATCAATATTATCATTATGGTTATTATGGTCATAATTAAACCGAAGCTGCCGACCATCCGGATTCGACTGATTGAAAAAGAATTTTTCATGATTTTTTCTTGGTTGATAAAAATGATGTTTGTACAACAAAGTTAAATCTAAAAAGAAAAAAATACTGGACATTTATATTGTTTTTTTTTCACTGGATAGATTTCTTTTTCTCGTGGCATATATGTACGTCAATCTACAATGATATTGACAAAAATTTTTTTTTTATTAATTACTAATCAATTTTTTTTTTTTTTTGCCAATTGACGACTATAATGACACTGATGATAATGATGAGTAATAACCATTAATGTAATTGTTATTGTAATACGATTACGATGTAATTTTATAATGATGAAATTCATGAAATTGATTGAAAACGATTGAAGAATTGAATAAAGGATATTTCCTCTCTCAGTAACAGCAAATTTGAAACAACGAGCGAAATCGAAGCGAGTACGATTTTTTCTCCAATCATAATTTGACAGGAAAGTATATCCGCTAAACGGAACCAATATTCAATGTAAAGAATTCAATGCATTCAAGGAAAAAGGAAAAAAGCGAATTGATTGATTAGTTTGATTCTATTCAATTGATTGATTGATTGATTGAAAACAAACAAAAAAAGTCAATAAACTTTATTGTGGCGTTCTAATTAATTTTTTTATTATAATCAAATAAATTGTGTTACTATTATAACTATAGTGATTAATAATGATGATAACAGGATATCCACTGTTACAATGGACTATTTAATCAAATTAAACACCTTATTAATTTAAATTTGATGGCTTTGTTGAGGGGGAGGAAAGAGGGAAATGAAATTAATCTTTAAATCTAATCTAATCTTATGATTAATAATCCATTGATGATCATAATCGATTGTCTTGAATCTCAAAAACAATCGATGATCAAATCGACTATCGATACTATCGGTCATATGATCATATGATCGGAAGAAGGAAAATTTATTCCAAACAACAACAACAACAACAACAACAACAGAAGTAATAATATTTGGAATTGCACCATTGAATTATCAATTCAGAAGTCATTTAGTTAACCTTGATTAAAAATCAATGGGTTTTTATTGAAATGGACGATTACTATGCAATTTTTTTCCAACAAAGTTGTTGTTCATCTTTAAAACTGCATCCTATTTTCAATGGATGGCGATAATAATTTAATTCTGAAATTCATGTGATCACCATCATCATTCAATTTAATTAATCATCATTATTATTGCGTTCTTTATGGAAACGTAAGAAAAAAGTTTTTTTCATTTCTGATTAGCTTGAAATGATAAAGCATTTCTTAGGAAAATGATATATGCATGGCTATCATGGATTTTTGTTTTCTCTTTTAAAAAAGTTTTCAGTGTGTGTTGTGCGGTGATTTACAATTATCACCACACAAACAACAACATTGAAAACAACAACAAGCTAAACAACAACAATAGAATGACCAAATGAACAATGTATCATAATTTGCATTACAATTCTTCTTCTTCTTCATCTCTAAAATAGTGGTGATAATAACCGAAAAGGTCGACCAAAAAGGATTAAAATGCAAACGAAGTAGAAGAAGAAGAAGAATTGTTCCTTAAATATGACAATTTGACAAAAGCTCAAGGTCGTATATTTTAGCCTTTTTCCACAAAGCAATTAAAACATTGTCACATAATAAATGGACAAATATCCAAGGTCATCACAACACCTAGGACCATGGAATATATTCAGCAAGCAAAAAAAATGGGTAAAGGAAAAAAATATTCAAGCATGGTCATTTTCATTTTGGGTTTCAACATGTCTCCATCAACAAAAATTATTATTTCAATTTTTATCATAGTTTCCCTTGGCCATTCGATCAAATCAATGTCGATTGGTTATTCGGAAACTAAAACTATCAATTATGCATCATCGACAACGAAAGATCCTGAAATTCAAATGAGTAATGAAACAATTCGGAAAATCTTTGAAACAGCTGAACAAGTTACAAATGCAACCGAAACTGATTCTGTTTTGATGCAATTACAGCCAATTATCACTACTAAAACTGCCAAAATGTCAAGATCAACAAACGATAATAATAATAATAATTTAAAAAATATAATGCTTTTGGTTGTTAAAAAACCCGAAAGTTCAAACCGATCAAACATAATGGAACAATTTAATGCATATTATATTCATACAGCTAAAGCATCAGATGTTACTGATGGAATTTTCACTGTTATTTGGAATTTATTGATTGATTCAACAAGAGAATTTGTTGTTAATCGAATTCGTTCAATGTTACAACATGGTATGCAAATGTTTAAACCATCATCATCTGCATCTGCATCTGCTTCTGCATCAGGTCGTACTGTTGGTGTTCCTTCATTAATTTTTCGACAACAAAGTGAAATTAACAACAACGAAAACAACAACAACAATGATCAAGAACCTAAAGTTGTACTTTTGATACCAGAACCATTTCATTTGCCTGATGTTATTCAATTTGACGCAATAAAAAATGTGGATTCTTCAGTGGAAATGGAAAAATCCAATTCAAATATCGATAATACCGAACAGCAGCAGCCATCATCATCAAATAAAGAAGAAGCGGAAGAAATTGAAGATAATTTGGTTATTAAAACAATTTCAAAAAATCCATTAAGTCCAACATCATTAGCACCATTACGATATATGGTACGACCGGTTGGTGCATTCACTGGTTTAAGTGTTAATGCTGCGGATAAAACATCCACCTCAGTGGGTACGATGATAACAAATACGGGACTTCATTTCAGTCTCGTATGTAATCAACAAAAACAAAAAAACATTTGAATTCCCATCATGCATATGATTGATTTTTAACTAACTAAATTAATTAATTTTTTTTGTCTCATCCCATAATACAGCTTGGGCCTAGCGGTACTGATTCGACAAAAACCAAAACAACCGATTCTTGGCGAAATTATTTTCGTGCATTAGGATATGGTATTCTTATTGCAAAATTTTTAGGATGAATTTTTTTTAATTTCCCGCAAATTTCCCAAAAAAACTACACATCTGCCATCTATTGATGGAAAATTGAATTTTTGATATTTTGAAAAATTTTTCTTCCCAAAAAAACACCCAAAAAAACAAATAAAATTTTGCTAAAATAAATAATATTTATTATCAATATATTTCATATATAAAATAAGGGTTTGTGTGTGTATGTTTTGTGTGTTTTGCTTTTCATAATTCATAATTTTGAAAATGATTTTTGATTGATTGATTGATTTGTAACAAACAAAAAACATTGTGAAGAGAACAATAACGATCAATTGATCAATGAGAAAAATAAAATGAAAAAAAAATAATTAGCAAAAAGAATACTTTTCTGAAACATTATCAGCATTTGAATAAAGAATAAAATAAAATTTGATCACAAAAATAAATGAGAGAAGTAATGTGTATGTGTGTGTGTCTAATTGAAAGTGAAAAACAAAACAAAAGAAAACATAAACAGAAATTCAACTTTTTCTTGGCTGTTTAACGCCACGATGTGTTAGTCCTTCGAAACGTTTAAATGTATAATTGATGAATACCCAATCTTTGATTCCACCGCTTTCAGGATCTTTATTCGATGCGGATGCTAAATATAGAAAAATGGAAAAACATAATTAAAAAGCCATTTTACAATAAACAAATGAAAAACATACGAATTTTTAAATCAACATCATCAAAATTATCAAAATTTGAAGTATCATCGATTGATTTAACTTCAACAGGTATAGCTGCCGGTCGTTCACGAATATGTTCCCAATCAACGCCCTACAATTTTGATTGATTGAAAAATAAAAATGATAAAAATCTAATTGAATGTCGAAAACAAACAAACCTTAAAAAATGAATGTTGTTTAATTTCATCGATACCATGATGTGAACCAATACGACGATCATTATCATTACAAAATCTTAAAATGAGATCACGTGCTTCATTACTGATAGGAACTTCAGGTGGAAACACTAATGTATCACGCCAATTCATTACTTTTTGATAAGTTTCATGTGGTGTTTCCGAACAGAATGGTGGATAACCGATTAACATTTCATACATTATAACACCTAATGACCACCAATCGGCACTGTAATAAAAATTTTTTTTTTTGAAATTTTAAAAATGAAGCAAGAATATTTACCTTGCACCATAACCAGTTTTTTTAAAAACTTCTGGTGCAATATAATCCGGTGTACCAACAGTTGAATAGGCTAATTGTCGACGATTTTTTTTCCATGATTCAGCACGACGTTTTGAATCCATTGGACTTGATGTAAAATCACTGGGTTTAGCTTGTGATAGATCACGATAAAATTCTGTACGATGAGATTTTTTCATTCCAGTACACAGACCAAAATCGGATAATTTTATATGGCCCTATTTTGAATGAAATAATAATAATAAAAGAAAAATTCAAAGAAAATCAAAATGATGATGATAGAGTTAAATAAAAAAAAACTTCGTGACACTTTTTTGAATATAATATAATGTTTTCATTGATTGATTCGTGCAGTAATATGGAGACTAAAAATAGACAAAAAAATCGATTGGATTTGGAAAATTTGAGTTTTTTTTTTGAAAAAAACTTTTTTAAAAAGATGGAATATGATATTTAAACGGGGTGATATGAACAAATTGAAATATAAAACCCGGCTAATAACTAAACAAATCGAAACAACAACAACAACGATGAAAAATCGTGCATATCGAAAACCAAAAACAAAACAAAACAAAACGCCTTTGTAATTATCTTTTGAAATTACCATCATTATTATTTTTTGAATAAAAGATCCTGTACAATCAAAGAAATTTATGATTATTTAATGGCTTTGCCACACACATCATCATCATCGATGAATGATAATTTACAATTGGAAAAGAAAAAAACATTTTTCTGAATTTTTTTGTTTCTTAGAATAGTTTTTCCGGTGTGTAAGTTTGTACATTATGCTATCAAAAAAAATAAATAAAGGTCAAATAATAATTATAATCATTGCCCAATAATGATTCCTTTTTAAAGGTAAATTTTTCACAATAAAAGCAAAGCTTGATGACCCTAAACATCCCTCATCATCATCATCATCATCATCATCGAAACAACAACAACAACAGACATTCCAATGGCCCTCAAACAAAAAACTTGTTTAAACAAAAACCTATTTCGAAAACCCAAAATGATTATTTCAGGGTAAAATAAATATAAAGCAACAACAAAAAAATGTTAGGATAGAAAAGAATAACAATACTTGTACAATGCGGACTAAGGTTGAAGAAAAAAATAATAATTTTGGAAAAATTCTTTCCACATTTTCTACACACACAAACAAACATCCGACCAAAAATTTAAGGTAAAGTCGTGTTTGGTTGGTTGATTGTGTAACAATAAGGTGTGCATCAGAGTAAATAAAAGTGTCTAAACTAAGTTTAAACTACCGGCTGGTAGGCAACAAAGTTTACTTCGATGCTTCTTGTTGAATTGCATACACAAAATATATTTGGATGATTGAAGTGAAGTGAAGTGATGTAATATCAATGTCCTTGACCAGAACGAAAAAAAATATGTACAACAACAAGGACCACTAGCCTAGATTAGGTTAGGTTATTCATACCATTATTTAATGATCTCCCCTACGCACAATTTTTTTCGTTGTTCTTTTCTTTTCTGACATCATTATTAGAAAATAAAAATTTAACCTGTCAATCAATTGAACACTTTTTTTTGTGTATGATGGCCCAAAAAACAAAACACAATGGTAATCCAGGTAAAAATAATTAATGAAAACAACAACAACAAACATACCCGTGCATCCAATAATAAATTATCCGGTTTAATGTCACGATGAATAAAACCTAATTTATGTATTGATTCAATTGCTAATGCTGTTTCAGCAATATAAAATTGTGCACATTCTTCCGTTAATGTATCTTTTTTTATCAATAAAGTCATCATATCGCCTCCAGGTAGAAACTATGAATGGAAAAAACAAAAAGCAGAAAAAAAAACAGTTAGAAATTGATTTTTAATTGAAAAAAAATCCTTTAATTAATCAATTATCATTATCCATCTCAAAAGTGCTTACCTCCATAATTAAATAAAGATTAATAGAATCTTGAAAACTATAATACATTTTAACAACCCATTGATGATCAGCTTCAACTAAAAAATCACGTTCAGCTCTAACATGACCAACTTGTTCTTTTTCAACCATATCAGCTTTACGTAATATTTTCATTGCATAAACATGTCCAGTATCATTTTTTTGTACTAATCTCACTGAGAATTTTCAAGAAAAAATTATAATTAACAGGAAGGAAAAAACCAAAAACAAACAGAACAAACCTTCACCAAATGCACCACGACCAATAACTTTTAATGGTGTAAAATCTTCAACACCTAATCGAGATCTTTTTAGCCGTAAAAATTCTGTTTCTTTTTGTGCATGTTGTAAACGTTTTTCTTGTTTTTGTTCTTCTGAAAGACCTTCATCACGCATTGATTCTTCTAAACGTTCATGTCTGTAAAAATGAAAAATTTTTTTAAAAAATCAAAATTAATAAAGTAATCAAATCCAAATCAAATTGATCAATGTTTTTAAACACCTACACTATGTGTGTACGTGTTTACCATTATGTGTTTTGTGTGTGTGTTAATCGATAATAAAGACATTGTTAATGATGAATAGCTCGTGCGTGTAAAGTGTTAGATAATCATTTGTTGAATGTTCTTGGCGTCAAAAATAATGATGAAACAACAACAAAAACAGCAGAAAAAAGTTCATCGACTTAATGATGATGAACATTTGCTTGTTTGTTGTTTTTCCCATTCGGTTCAATGTAATCTAAGTGTGAATAATGCGGAAGAAAAAAAATTGTTTTTCAACAACAACTTTTTCTTCGTTTGTTTGTTTGATTCAAAGCCAAAAAAAAACGCAAAGGCAATGAATTCATTTTTGATTGATCTTTCATCATCATCATCAACAACAACTAATGATGAATATTATATGGAGCGCAAACATAAAACTAACTAACTAATATGACTGTCAGTTTTGTCACTTTTGTTCAAAATGAATGAATATATTTAGCAAAACTTGCTTACCTTATTCTTCTTTCCAAATGTTGTGATATAAGATTTGAATAATAATTTTCTAAATGTACTTTAGCTTTTGTTGCTTTATCAATTGTATGACCAGAAAATCTTATTTGATGACCAGATGAATGATTATTATCATTATTGTTATGATGATTCGTTGTTGATTGATTCATCATTAAACTTGAGACCATAATACCACCACCAGTAGTAGCCATCATATTATCAGTTGGAATATTTGGACTTGATGTACCACTTGTTGTTGTTGATGATGATATTGGTGCCATTGAATCAATCGATTGTGGCTGTTGATTTGTAGAATCTGTTTGATCTTGTTGTTGTGAAGTAGTTGTTGTTGTTGTTGCTGCAGCCATTTTTTTTAAATCACAACCACCACCAACACGTTGAGATTGTTTCTGTAAAGAATAATAATTGGAAATTTGATTAGATTTTTTCTTGTTATTCCTGTTATTATTATGACGTTTTGTGAATGAAAGTAATGAAAAATTTAAATTCAGAGCCATAATATTATTGTTATTGAATGAATGAATGATTTTCTTGTTGTGAAACAACAAAAAACATTTGCTAATAATAAATATGTCACGAATGCAAATGGAATCCAAATGTCATCAACAACAATCATTATTTAAGATTAGAAAGACACGTAAAGACTATAGGCAAAACAACAACATTGGCAACGAAAAAAAAAATGCTAATAAAATGATATGATAATATGATTTTAGACAAACACACACACACACACACATAAACATTGATCAACAATTAGAATGTGAAAATTTTTTTATTTATTGTTAACCAGAAAAGATAAAAAAGAGAAAAGAATTTAGATTAACATAAAATTATAATTATGTCGCTATGGATCCAATTTAAAAGATCCATAAAGGATTAAATAATTATTATGAAATTTTTTTTTGTTTCCGATTTTTTCAATCTTGGTGAATCCAATGACCAAAAAAGAAAATGGGTTTTTTCTCATTGAAAAAGTGATTTCTTTCTTTTGGGTAAAGCCATTCGTAGATCCAAACAAAAATCATTTATCAATAAGTTATTTACGTCATTCGAGGTTTTGACGATCGATTTTTTGTTTTGTTTTTTTGACAGCTGATGTATGCAACAATCAACATATATTCGTTATTAATCACACACACACATATGTCAATTGGTGAATAACTAATGAATAATTTTGTTGTTGTTGTTTTGCATCATGACTATTTAGGATTTCTAAATGTTTGACGTTATTTGGAGAAATTTGAAAAACCAACCAAAAACACACACATATTTGGATAGAAATGGATTAACATCAAGCAAGCAACAACAGAAGAAAAAATAGTTCAAACATACTTTTCATCATCAATAATGACAAACAAACAAATCTAATCTAAACACTGACAACAACAACAACAACAATGAAATATATCCTATTGACCTAATATAATCATCAGGTGTGACAGGTAATATCAGGTAAAGCCATTGAAAAAAGTGGCAATTTTTCAATGGAAAAATTCATTGAAAAAAAAACTGAAATTAAAATTAAAAAAGCCAGCATAATACATCCCAGTTAATTTTGTTAAATAATAATAATCAAAAGGGAAGATGGATAGAGTGTTTGCTGCTGCTATTGTATTTGAAGAGGAAAAAAACAAATTGGAAAATAATGATCATTAAGAGAGTGAATGAAAAAAATTAATAACACACAAAAATAAAACCATAAAGATAAGAGATTAGGATAAAAAAAAGATTCTTTCCATCTCACCTACACATGTAATTCACACAAATTGAATGGGGGAAAAAAAAGACATGGTGTGTTCCATATTGAATTCGAAAAACAAAAACAAAACAAAAAATCCAATCTCATTTCATCAGAAAATGGATTTTAATGTTTTGATCACGATTATTTTATTGATGAATTATGATGATGAAAAGATATCAGAAATAACATTATTTAACAATAACAACAACAAAAAAACGACCACAAATGTAATCAAATAACAACAAACAAACAAGAACCAAACAAACAAACAAACCCCAAGATATAATCTATTAAAATATGGAGATATACAAGATATGAAACAAAAAAAAAGGAAAGACGCCCGACGTTTAACATATTATAATCAAGATTATAAATTATGAGTAGAGAGATATCACACACAAAAGTCAAATAAGTTTTTTAAAACATTTTCGTTATTTGATTGTCATTTTTTATTTAATTCAAAAATAATGTTTTTTATTTTTGGTTATCTTATGAAGATTTTACCTGAAAAACAACATATGACATTCTTGTGTGAGAATTTATTTTCAAATAATAGGATATGTGAAATGAGAATGATAAGAAATCTAAATACAATGAATAATAATTTAGAGGTGGAAAAAATTGAGGTCAATTTCCGAACGGCTTGTACAAGTGTTTCTATGAATATCTTGTCTTTTTTGTTTGATAAATTCATTCATATTCATATTCATATTGATATTGAATAATAATTGAATTCATTCATACACCGGACCAAACCCTCTATCTAACATATTTTTTCTATCTTAAATGGCTTAAAAATAGAGGTATTTTCTCCATATTTACCCAAATTTATTAATAATAATAATAGAGTGGTAATAATAACCGTGTGTAGCGGGAAATATAGCTGTGTGTTTTTCTCATTGAAAAGTTTTTTTCAATCACGATTCCCGATTGTAAAAAAGAATTCATTTCCCGAAAAAAAAGGAAATGAATAAAAATCTAATCACACACGAAGAAAAAACACATATGGAAAATTATCCAAATGTAAAAACCAAACCAAACAACAACAATTTTGGCCTCGTTTTATTTTCTGATCGAAAAAGTAAAAATTGACAAGGATAAAGTACAATCATCAATTGGTGTTTGTGTGTAACATTATCAAATTTCAATTCGTAGCCAAAAAAACCAAATTAAAATGTAAATAAATAAACAAACAGAAAAATTCTATAATCAAAAATGAAAATGAAATTTCCAAAACTTCCCAAAAAAAAATAAAGATATATACAAGGAAATGGATTCAATCAATATGTTATTCCCCAATTTTCAAATGTAAAAAATACAAACAAAACAAAGTGAAATTTGAGAAACAAACAAAACAAATACAATTTATTTGATGACAATTTCATAATCATTATTCAGAAAATATGATTATGTAATAATCATCGAAAGGGCGAAAAATTTTCTTTTTTCAAATAAACCAAGGACATGAATGAATTTCTGAACTGAATTTTTCTAATTTTGGATTAGATTTTTTTTTAATAAGACAAAACAAGCAAAGTATTTTTTCTGGATATTTGCCCAGATATCAAATGTGTCGCATTATTATTTTGATTATCATCATCTGATCATCATCATAATCTGAATTTTAAACTATGGTTGCCAAATGATTGTTTTGTTTGATTCAAAGAGATGCGATTATCATCATTATCATCAGATGACATTGATTTTTTTGAAATGATTTGTTTCTGTTTGTTTATCGTTTTTCTCTCCAGTCGTCGTTTTCTTCATTCAAAATGTGTGTGTAAAGGAAGTTGAAAACGTTTTTTTTTCAATAAAAACAAACATTTTTTGAATGTTGAATGATGATGATGATGGGAGAATGATTGACCCGTAATATATTGTTGTTATTATTTGCTTTCGGGAAAATTTTTCCCGAAAACATTATTTCTGGAAAACATTTTTTTAAAGGTGTTCATTTTACTCACATTTTGTGACAAACATTTTGTTTCAATCAACGATGATGATGATGATTTTGTCAATGTTGACGATGTTGATGATGAAGATGAACGAATTTTTTGTAATTTTAATCGCATTTTTACATCATCATCATCACCATCATTATTATTATCATTATTATTATTCGTTATTACAGGACTAGATAAATGTTTTGGACAAAGATTATCATCAGATGTTGATGATGATGATGAATTAATGATCGGTGATATCACCGATGGCGTTATTATACCATTATTATCATTATGAATAGTTGTTGTCGTGGATGTTGGACTATTAAAACTCAATTTAAATTTATTAATGTTGAATTGACGAAATTCAAACATTTGTAACATTTTTTGTATTAACAACATTTGATAATGATTATTATTATTGAATGCATAGAAATGAAAATCATTATTATTATTATTTTAAAAAATAAAACTACTGGGGAAAGAATAATGATGGAAAACAGTCCCCAAACAGTAATCAATCAAAGCCAATTGAATTTTGTTTGGAGATTAAATTTTTTTTTTTAATGACGACGATAATAACACAGATAAAGATAGTCACAAGATTTTTAGATAACAAAAAAATGGATTAACAGTGATCACAGGGTTTTTGGCCAAGAAGATTAGATTGAAAAGTAAACGTAAAAACAACAACAATAATCAATGGAAAAATATAATCCGCAAATACAAAGATTATTATATCATCGAAAAATTCAAAAATGATAGTTTTTATCGCTAAAAATTTGGTCGATTTTTTTCATTTGAAAATTGAAAGGAAATGCGATTTTGGTTGAAAACAAAATTCATTTTTTTCATTATCACATTATTTCACCAAAAATTAAAAAACTGTAAAATTCAAAAAAACACCCAAGGTGACATTTTTTAAAGTTTTCAATATTCAACTATAGTGAAATCAATATGTTTTTGGCAATTTTTGTTGACAAACATTTCAGTTTATTGATTGATTCACGAATTGCAACCCAAAATGAATGAAATGTCCTCGAATCGTTGAGCAAAAAAACATAAGGGGATAATCAATTTGATTGATTGATTAATGTTGCTGTTGTTGATTGATCAATCAATATCGATTTTTTTTCGTTTTAATCATCATCATTCAAAAATGATAAAATGAATTTTGTGAAATAATGAAAAGAAATCAAACATCACTTGATTTTTTTACACTTGTCAGCTGGATTAATAAACTTTTTTTTAAAAACTGACGAAAATTAGGATCATCAATAATCATTATAAAGAAGTAGAAAAAAATTTCAGAAACTTTTTTTCAAACAAAAAAATCTGGAACAAAATAAATTGAGAAAATGATGAACATACAACGAATTTTCGACAAAGTTTTTGGATAAATGGAAAAACGATGTACGTAACTTTACTTTACGGCTGCTCAAACTTGAATGACGATGAATGTTGTACATGTTTTCAAGCTTCGAAAGGATATTCATAACGTTTTTCTGCAGAAGCAAAACGAAACGAAATAAGAGCAAAAGATGAAAACAAGCAAACAACAGAAAAAAATCATGTTGCAACATCGAGAGAGAAAAAAGCCGTCAAGGAAGACGACTTGTTTTCAGTGTTGGTGTTTTTGTTGCCATCGAAGAGAGAGAGAGAAGATTACAATTGCGGTGGTTGTTTCGACGACAACAACGATAATATCGTTGTATGGTGGTTTGTGTATCAGAGGTGATGATATTTGTTTGGACAATCATCACTAGCAGCAGCAGCTTTTTGAAATTTTCTGAATGAATGAATTATGTAATAAGGATTTTTCAACGAACAAATCAAGAATTTTGAGGGAAAAAAAGTTTCATTTGAACGAATCTATTGATTGAATTGATGGCAATGGCCACAGATGCCACATCAAACACAATGCAAATAAAAATCGACCACCACGATGAATGAACAACGAAAAACGACAAAGAATTTCGCATAGTCATCATCATCAATGATGATATGACCCAGATGGTCAAACAAACAAACGAATTGTCAAACATTTTACAGAGAAAAAACGAAACAGGCAACACAAAACAAACACTAAGATCTAATAATAATGGTATTTGGATGTTTACGGGCAATAAAACATGTAAAGAAATCCAGAACAACATTGGCCACGTGGTTGACACTTTTCTGATTTTTTTTCGGAATCAAGCTTTATAAACATGTAAAGGAAACACACACACACATAGACAGATAGAGATAAAAGGAACAAACTTTGAAATTAAAATTTTGCCGACTTGAATAACATTGTTGAAGATTATCATTGTTGTTAATGTTGTTTCCAAGTTTTTTTCGTTGTTGTTGTTGTTGTATACAATCCAATATTGTAAATGGCATTTTGTCAACCAAGAAAAAAAACCGAATAAATGTTGAAATTAAATGAAATTCAATTCACTAAGTTTTTGTGCTTCAAAATGTGTGGTTTTTGCTGTTTGTTTGTTTGTTTGTCGAGAAATTTGATCCATTTCGGAAACATTTCTTTGCACTCTTCTTTTTATAATCATCATTTTTGAAAAAAATGAATGTAATTTGATGAATTTTAATTTAACCATCACCACCACCGCACACACATCATTCCATTCCATTTCAAACAGAAGAAAATCTTTCAACACATTTTATAAAAATCAGAAAAAAAATCCAGTTAATTTTAACCTTGTTTTTTGTTCGGGAAAAATTTCCCAGAAATTTCATTTCAAAAACATTTTTTTTTCAATCAAAAAGAAAGAATCATTGAAAAAAATCATTCAGTTCAATCAACCAGATCACCAGATTTTTTGATTAACAAAAGCCAATTCTAATGTCATGTATAACATGTTCAATGTTTTTTAAATTCAATCAAAAATTTCAATGAAACAAAAAACAAAAAAAAACAGAAATCTTTAACAACAACAAAAAACAACCAGAACAAGAAAAAATCAAATTGTCTTTTTTTCCATTCAATGACAATGACAATAGACGATGATGATGGTGATGGCAAAGAAAAAAAACCAGATGAAAAAAAATTCGTAACCGACAAAAAAAAGCTAATTTTAGTTTTGGTTTTGTCCAAAATTAAATTCATTCATTGTGTTTTCAGCAAAAAAATAAATGCTTGTCGTCGGTGTTTGTTAACATTAAATAATTTCAAAGGGTTGGGTGATGGATAATAATAATAAAGGATTTTTGCATCATGGAACCCATTATCAAATTATAAAATTAAACACAAAAAACAAAACATGAACAGAAAAATTCCTTGATTTTTCCTTTCTTTGTATTTGTTTGCTTGTTTGGTATGTGTTTTGTTGATTAAAAGTTTTCTGGTTCTTGGTATTTTCAATGGCAAAAAAAGGATTGTTGTTTGTTTTTAAATCCAACACAGGTTTGTTAAAGTTTCATTAAAAATTCCATTAACAACAAACAACGAAAAATTTAAATAAGGTTGACAGTATGGCTTTACTAATGGAACAAGAAAAAAGCAAAAATATTGTTCAATTTAGTTAAACAACAAAAAACATCATGAAATTTTTCATCCAACACAAACAACAACAGAAAATTGTTGTTGTTATTATTGAAACTTTAAATTGATTTCACAGAGCACGAAAAATTGATCGATTGAATTGAATTTGATCAAATCAATCAATCAATCAATCAATTGAAAAGTATAATAACGATCAAGTGCGTGTAAACTTAATAATACGTCGATTCAATGAATGAATGAATGAATGAATGAATGTTTTGTATATACAATGTTTACAACAACAACAACAACAATTTTGAAACATTCAACCTACGCATGAATAAAGAGAAAAGGGGAAAAAATATATATCATTTTTGTGAAGGTGATGTAATGTGTGTCTGTTTGTTTGTGACCAATATTTGGACATTTGCTATTGTGCGATATTGAAACAGAAAGAAAAAACAAAAGTAAAACATTGTAAATAAATGGACATCATCATCATCAAAATTTGGTCGAAAAAGTCCAACAGTCAATGTTTTTCTTGAACTTTACTGTTTTTCATATTGTTCAAAAAATCATAAAATAATTAGCTGCTAATTTTGATTTGGGAAAGTTTTTTTTATATTGCGTAAAAAACAAACAAACAAACAAACAAACACATCATCAGTCAGTCAGGTAATGTAATTATAACCAAATAAATAAAAATCTTGCAAAATATGAAAAAAAAATTCATAAAAGTTTTTCAGTTGAAATGTCCATATTTGGTTCAAAATTTTCAATGCAAAAAAAAAAAATTTGCTCTACTTTTTTGTTTCTCTGTTTATCATTTTGTTTCAAATCAATTTTTTTCTCTAATAGATTTTTTTTTGCAAAATTAACGATTAACACAATAACAACAACAACAACAATGGTCAAAGATGATAATAAATGAATGGAAAAACGAAATTCAGATGAAATTCAATTCAATTCTAAAGTAACGGAAGGATGTTGAATCAATTAACTGATTTCAATTCCAATTCAATTCAATTCAATTCATTGAATATAACACAATGATTTTTGTAGATAATGATGAACCGGGTGGAAAGCAAGCCAAACAAGAAAATCAAACAAAGCAAAAATCATTCATTCATTCATTGAAGAGCGAAATTGGAGCAAAGAAAAAATTGTATCATTGAAAACACAAACGGAATATATATTGTTTTCCTCGGACAAAAGAACATCATTCATTATTATAAAAGAAGAAGTTGGTCAACAAAGAAGAAGCATTTTATCAATTTGACCAACAACCGGCTAACCAATATTCAATGAGAGAAAAAAAAGGAGATCAATTCGATGATTGATTGATTGATTGTGATCTCAATCATCTGAAAACTTTTTTCAAATGATCATCATGCATGTTTAGTAACCTAAATTCTTTCCGTTTGACAATTGAAAATGAATGAATTTTTAGTTTTTAAAAACAGTTTTTCATTTCGTCAGTCAATCCATCATCTTTGTGAAAAAAAGTCAAGATTTTTAAAAAAAAATTTCATCACCCTTCAGAAAAAAATGATTCGATGAATATTATAATCGAGGAATCAAGTGTCAGATTGATTTGATTATTTGTATCGATTATTTTTTTCTGATCAAATCAATCTGAAATCAATAAGAAAAAAGAACCGCAAAATCAATAAAATAATGATGATGTTTTAATAAACAATCATCAGTATCATAATCATTATCATTCGAAACAAAATGATCGATTTCGATTCAAAGAAAATCGATCAATCAATCAATTCAATTTGATTGATTGATAAATTATCTAAAAAAAAGGAGGAAAACTACTACGTGCAACCATTAATCAATCAATACTTTTTGTCGATGGACAACAGTGAAAGAAAGGAAAATTGACTTTACTATGATGATGATTGTAATTTAATCCATCATCAATGATCATGATTTTGACTTTGATTTTTTGGTTGGTTGGCTAATTTATCGTTTGTTTAACGATGTTTTGTTTTGGAAAAAATGATAAATAATCATCAAAAAGGAAACTTAAATGTTTTTATGGCCTTCAAAATAGAAAACATAAGAATCGCTATTTTATATTGATTATGTCACAATGGGAAAAGTTCCCAGAAAAACTTCAATGACGTTCATCGTAATAAAATCAATGATTGACGATTATTTTAGAGAATTTTGGAAATATTGATCACCGAGGTGACACAACAACAACAAGAAAAAAATGTCATTGAAATGATAAAAGTTTGCAAAAAAATTATTGATGGGAAAAATAAACATATTTATGATGATGAGGGAAAAGGAAAACAAAAAATCATAATGATAATAACCTCGAGAATTCAAAAACAACAACAACAAATATTGATCTCTAATCTAATCTTTTTTGTTGTTGTTGTTTGGATTCCATTTAAATCTTGTGAAAACATACAATGAGAAAGAGAGGGACAAAAACAGACTAATAACAGACATTTTGGATTGGATCAAGTGTTTGTTTGTTTATGTCAATTTTGGAAATTTTAGAAATTTTAATTTTATTTTTCAAAAAAGAAGAACAATCTGATTAGATAACAAACAAAACTTTGACTGACTGACTTGTTGCATCATTTTTATTTGAAAATAACACGTTGATACACACATAGAGAGAGAGAGAGTGAGAGAAAAATTCATTTACATGAATGACATTGGATCATCATCGTTATGATCCAAATTAATTTTTTGAAAATAAAAATGATAAAAAAAAGCTGATAATAAAAACATCTGGCAATGAAAGTTTTTACTGAAAAAATAACAAAAGTGAAAATGAAAATCACGTAATGAATGAATGAATGAAAAAAAAAGGTTATGGAAAAGCAAAAGTAACAAAAACAAGCAAAAAGCAAAAGTTCAACAGCAACTTTTTTGATGAATTTTTCATTATTTAGATTCTTACATTGGATAAACATGATGATGATATCGATGATATTGATGATGATTTTGATGATATCGATTGTTGTTGTTGTTTTTTTAAATTTTTTACATTTGAAAGACAACGAAATCTACTGGACAATGTTGTATGATGATGATCATCATCATTATTATCAAAATCTTTATTGTTTTGCTGTTGATGATGATGATGATTAGTTAGATTAGATAAAATTTTCTTAGGTGTACAGATAATTTTTGAAGGAGATGATGTTGATGATGATGAAATATCATTATCACCACCACCACCACCATGTGATGATTGTGTTGATGTCGTTGTTGATGATGAACATGATGAAAATGATGATGAATGAAAAAATTTTGAACGATTTGATTTTTTTTTCTTTTGACAATGAATATTGTCTATAATAATATCATCATTATTGTTTTCGTTTCCTTTGTTTGTTCGAAGTGTTAAGGAATTATCCACATCAACAACAACATTATCCACATTAACATCATTTGTCGATGAAGTTATTGTTGATGGTGGCGTTGGAGAATTGGAAGCAGTTTTCCATATACGCATTTTAAATGCCAACAACATATTTATCAGATATGATGATATAGTTGGATCGCAAATTTTGAATAAAAATTAAATAACAAAAACCACAAACAAAGAAAAATTAATCCAATGACAATGTCAATGGTGACAAACAATAACAATAAAACCAAAAGAAACAATAAAAAAAATTGATAAACAACAGCAAAATAATTTAGAATCAATCAAACCGAATGAAATGAAATGATTCAAAACAAAAAGTTGATGAAGAAGAAGAATCCAATCACACACACACACATAATGACACAATGACGATAATGATAAATTGTTTTTAAACACCAGAAACTAAAGTGAAAAAAAAATCTGATGAATCACCTTACCACCACCAAAACAACAGCTTTTTTATGAACCAAAAAGTTTAATAATGATAATGATAAAGTAATAAAAAATCAGAAAAATTGAAAAATTTCTCTCATCATCATTATTCTCATCGATGGATGGAACATTGGATTTTTTTTGAACAAACAATTGATTATGACGATTATTATGATTTGGATGATCAAAAATTATAATTTTTTTTAAACACTTGATCTGTTTGTAATTTTTAAATATCACCATATATCACACACAATATTTATTTATAAAAATAATGTTTGTTTGCACATACATACATATAATATACTGATATCCAACCAAACAACAACCAATACCAACAACAACAATAACAACAAAAATTATCAACAAAGAAGCAACGTCATCGTTTTTATATTTTCCCTACTACATTATGTGTGTGGATTATCATTATCATCATTATTGGTTTGGTTGTCACACTGAAAAAAAACTAAAATCCTTCAAAATTTAGCAGCTGCTGCTGTTGTGTACGGGTAAAATAAATGAATATTCTTCAAATCCAATCGATCAAATCGATCAATCAATCCATAAATGATAATCAAAAAAAATTATCAAATTTTTTTTAAAAATAATAATCAAGTGGTATGGATTTTTTAGATTTTTTTTGGTTTCATTATTTTCACCCAGAGAAACAAAGAGATAACGGATTCACAGTAATAATATTGACGATATTTATTTACATTTCCAAGAAATGTTTATTGTGTGTGTGTGTGTGTGTGTGTGTGTGTGTGTCTATATGTGATATTTGATCATCATCATTAAAAAAACGTAAATAATAATAATGATATGCATGTAATGCGTGTTTGATAATTGAGTTGTTGATGATCATGGCTAAATAGATAATGTTCCATTGTAATTCAATTGTAATTCATTTGATCAAAGTGATAGAATTGATGATGAGAAATCGATTGATTGGTGGGGGCAAAAAATTTTGAACCAGGAAGACAAGATTTGTTCTTTATTCGTACAAAAAAATTGGATGGATGGCGGGTAATTAGAATTTTTGCTCGTTTTTTTCCAAAAAAAAAGAGATTCTCATTGGATCATCATTTTTTTCTGTTTGTTTCAATTCATCAGATGAATTGGCAGTTTTTTAGATTCAATTTATGATGATATTCGTAGGAAATTTACGGAAATTATCAACAACAATGATGATGATGAACAGCAGAAAAAAAACAAAAAACAATGATGATGATGATTTGGAGAAAAATATTTTTCCCTGCATATAACACACAACAATAAACACAAACCGACCGAATAACGTCACATAGAGAATACGTTGAATGACATCGATGATAAACGAAAATTCATTATACAACATCCACCATCAACTAAACATGATGATCATCAATGTGGAAAAACAAAAAATTCATATGGTAACCACCAACCAAACACACACATGGCAAAAATAGATTTGATTTTTTTCGGAAAAAAAACATTGTTATTATTAGAAAAATTGATCAATAAGTTTGATATTCCAAGTTGATCACTGTCACCCAAACACACAAATCAATGAAATCAATTGAATCGAAAAGAATTGTCATTTTTTTCACCAATCATCAACCACACATGCTCCAATCCGAAAACAAAACATCCAAAAAAAACACAATACATCAAGTAAGTGTGTGTGATATGAATATGATGATGGTATGTATCCATATGAAATGAAACAAATCAAACAGTTCATATTTTTTAGCTTACTTGCTTTTTAGTTTTTTTTTGTTCAGTCATCATCATTATAAGGGAGAAAAAACAAAAAAAAATCTTCATATACATCACACACACAGACATAGGTAAAAAAATTCTCTTGTTGTTGTTGTAGCAGCAGCAGCAGCAATATATACAATACACGCCAATCAAATCAGCATCTCTTCATTATTTTCTCTTCTTTTTAGAAAAAAATTCTGTCTAAATTCTCTCTTTATTTTCATTGTTTCAGATGGACGTGTTTTATGTGTGTGTGTGTGTGAACGATGCTCTAATCAAATCAAATCAGAACAAATTTTGAGAAAACACGCGCGTAATTTGACAAAACAAAATACCAATTTTCCAAAAAAAAATCCATCTTTTGAAAATTAATGATACATAAAGACAGAGTAACAAATGTGAATGTAGAAATGAACAACCCAAAGAACTACATGATGATTATCATCATACAAAACAATGATGATGCTGATTATTATTAATGATACAGATAGAGAAAACAAACAAACAATCAATTTATGTTTATAAACAACAAAATCACAATCGACTACACAGAAAAAGACAAAGAAAAATACACAGGAATTGAATTGAATTAAATTTAATTGAATACAATCAAATCAAATCAATCGAGGTAAATATCAATGGGAAGAAACGAAACGAAACAAAATGGAGAGATCCAATGAAAAACAATCAATCGCTACCTGATATTTAGACAAAGCAAAACAACAACAACAATGACTTGATTTGAATCAATTTGGAAAAAAAAAATATTGGAAGCAAACAAACAAACAAACATTGACAAAAAACAAATTAGATTTACGATCATAATGATACCTGGCCTGTATGTATGTCTGATATCCGTATTGGTTAATCCTCTGATGATGATGATGATGGTAAATACTAATAATTCACCTTCACAATGAACATATGTCGATGGTGATGATGACGGTTATTGGCCTCATTTGAATCACTCTCATGGCCAAAAATTGTATTTTAGCTTCCTGCTACTGTTTTGTCGATGATTGCACCCAGCCAGCCAGCGCTCCAATCAACACCATTATCATTAAACAAACAAACAACCAAAATTCAATGAATCAATCAACGAAAAAAAAGAATAACAAATCTTTATTAGTTTAGTGTTTGTGTGTGCGCGAAAGCGAATAATCAGTAAAAAACAAAACGAAAAAAAGGTACAACCAATCAATTTGTTTGAGGAGGAGAGAGAGAGAGAGAGGGGAAAAGAAAAAAATGGCAATTTTTTTCCGGGCACCTTACCCGGTATGGCGCCCTATACTCTTGACAACACACAAAAACCGATTCATCAAAAAAAAGATTTGAATAGTGATACGGCGGTTATTCATCCCTCATCATCATCATAATAATTTTACAATGATGATGTCTTCATTCACAAAAGAATCTGTAACTGTCGAATCATCATGATTCTAAATTTATCGACACAGCAAGAGCGAACACAGGAAAACCAAAGATACCGGGTGCTTCCGTAATGCAGTCGAGAACAAAAATTGAAAATTGAATTTTTGTTTTTTTTTTTTTTTTTGGGGAATGAACAGGGGGAGAGAGACTTTTTTTCGATCATATAGGGAAAACAAAAATCTGGGGGGGGG